TTAACATTCAATATTTATTTAGTAAAATAAATGGATTGAATTATAAATTTGCTTTTTGTTAGAGTGTGTAGGACCATTTAGTGATTATAAGTATAAAGTTGCTTGGGTTCCTAATCAATAATATTGACCTATTTATTCTGTTTCCTTTTGTTCTTACGTTGATTCCAGGTATTAATTGAGAATATTCCTTGAGTCCTTCTGCTTAAAAAGGTTGTTGAGGATGTAGCCTTTCATTGGAAAATTAAATAATTAAGAGCTGTGTTATTTCACATACGGGACAATGGAATAGAGTTTTGATTAGTTGACTTGAATCATTTTGATGATGACATTTACTCTCTACTGCCGGCAAGTAGCAGCGAGCCACGGTGTGTCTTCATTATTTCATAAAATAACCGCAGCACAAGAAAGGTCTGTTTATTCCACACTGTGCCGACAACAGGAGCAACATATTCGATATGGCGACTGAAAGAGAAGAGATTGAGAGGAAGAAATGAAAAGAAAATGCCCAAAATGACTCTTTTCAGTGTGCCAATTTGTTCTGCCCGGCCAAAATGGCATATTATGTTTAATATTTTGAATCTCAGCGGAGGAGGAGAAGAGCAGAGGTTTAGAGTGGGTTGCTTGGAAGAGTCATCGCGCTTTCGTCAACATAATACTCCACCATCTGCTTCCTGTAAAAGCCCTGCTAAATTTGTCTTGTGTTGTACACATGTGAGTCCAGGACCAAAGAGCAGATAGACACAGAGTGGGCAACATGAGCACCGCAGAGTACTTTCACATAAAACAATGCCAAGTGCTTAAGTTAAAAAAAAAAGTATCCCAAACTGATTATGTAGTCCGTACTCCTTTATACTTGGGAAGTACACAGTGTGCAGTCAAACAGCAACTCTGATCTGAAACCCATATATCAGAGTCAACACAAAAAAATGAACACACACTCACAAGTATGTGGATGGTGAGGTCGAACAAATGTGAATCACTCTGCAAACCGTCCTGAACGGAGTGCGAGGGCGGCGGGGCGCGAGTGACGAAGCCTCCAGCGACGCTCCTCCTGTGAGTCTCTGTGTGCGTCTTCACAACAGCAAAGGCAAGTGGTCATTAATGTCCTCCTAATATAAAAGATATCCGACTTGTTAATGCCGAGACAGAGGTTCAGTTTGCAGCGGCTGCACCACCAGCTTGTTCTTCTGCAAATGAGCAAAGTGAGGAGATATCATGAACCTCAGCATGCATTACCCAGTTGGAGTGGTTGCAGTGGAGCTCCACAATGGCAGGTGAGAATGAAGCTGCTGGTGGCTTCATACCCAAACCAAGAGGGAGGTTTGATCATGCGACAACGTACAGGAGATATTCAAGTTGGAATGGAAAAAATATACTAAATACAGTGACTTGAACAGAGTCAAGCAAGAGGAGCTGTGGAAGTCAGCTAGTATAATACCAGAAGCTTGCGTTAATGTGTCATTGGAGTAATTCCAAATCCAAGCACAGGAATTTATTGATGAGGGACAAATAAAAAAGACAAACAGCTCCAATAACGTTGTTGCATCTGGAAAGCTTTCCTTCTTCTTAATTGTGTGCTATGAACATCAGTGAGATCTGCTCAGTGAAGCACACTTCTCTCTGTCTCGCAAGATTGATGGTCCGCTTAGGGTCGCATGTGTAAAACAGCCGAAATTACCCATTACTCACGAGGACTGCGATCATTACTCACTCTACAATAGGCATGTTCAGAGTAAATGATCACTTGCTTCTTATTCACATCTCGGCACAGAGGAAAAGAAAGCAAGAGCCCGCACATGGGCGTCTCTTCTCGTCACAGACTGACAGCAAGGAAACAGCTTTATAAATCAAACCTCTAAACCTTTAGCAAATGCCTGATGGGCAAAAAAAAAAAAAGGCAGCGATTGACATCCCGGGGTAAAAACCGTAATGACCCCATAAACCCCGAAACAAACTGTAAAGTCTGAAGAAACAAAGAAAGGACCACATTATCGCTAACGGCTATAAAAAATTCAAATAAATGAAAATGCAGTCTGTTACACATTACACTATATGATCAGCCGTTGACAGTGCGAGTTTATGACGGAGTGTTTGGAGGTCGTACCATTAGATGCAGTAGTGCTGGGCGACGGTGATGTGTTTGTCCCGGCTGGAGAAGAACATGCATGCACCTCAGTAACCGCAGGTGAGAGACAAGGTGGTGACCGGCAGCATACTGCGTGCCGAGGCTCTGACTGCTGCAAGTGAGCAATGCAAAAGCCTTTTGGCACGAGGAGTATCACAATAAGGTCTGCTGCTTTGGACTGACAGAGGGGACAATACGAGTGATTTGCAGCAGAGCCGGCAGGAGACAGATGGCGGGGGGACAAAGCTAAAAGCATCAAACACATCCACAGTGATTATGACGAATGGCAGTGACGGAGAGCGATCACTGTGCTGAAACAAACACACACAGACATTATATATACATATACAAGAGAGAGAGCGATTAGGTAGGTGTCATCATGATTAGAATCAGAAATGAATTAGAATTAGAAATGAATAGTTAAAAAGTTGGGCCTGAAAAGTGAAGTAGACGCAAATGGCAAATAATTGAGAACACACACACACACGAGGTTCTTCACTTCAGGCCGGCAGACATAAGGGACTCGTGGCTTTCGCGGCACACTAAGCCACCTGCTCGAAGCGACAGTGTGATGGAAAGCTCTGTCAGGGTTTCAGAAAAGCGTTATTGATTTGTCTAGTCGTCGAGTTGTAACAAGCGAGGTACAAGACGTGACTGGTTAACTCTGAAGCCTTAGTAGTATAACGGGGGATCCAAAAAGTTTTTTAGACATTTGAGGTAAACTCACGCCCCCATGAGATTTTGCCACGCAATGTGGATTAAAATATAATCTGAGAAGGTAAATTTACGCTAAACGAGGCTATTGGACGCCTCGAGGCTGCCGTTAAATTACTTAATATTCTTCAAACCACAGCAGTGGAGGAAAAAAGACATACAAGGACATTGTTATTGTTTTCTATGGTTTAGCTTAAGTAGATTGTTTCTACTGAATTTGCTTTGAACGATTCAACTTTTAAAAATTGGTTAAATGCAAAAACATTTAATTTCAAGTAAAATAATTGTTTAGTCAACAAAATCATAACTACTAGTCAACAAAAAATGTATTTGGTCAAGGACTTAACTGTGGGTTAATGTTTAGATAACAGTCTTCTTTGAATCTAACTGGAACAATCCACCTTTACACGTTACCACATGGCCAAAAACAGCACAATTAAAGAGCAAATAACAAGCACAACCAATCTGCACGTAACACACATGTTCACGTCTCTGGCCTTGTGGATGCTGCCTTGCTGGGATAAAATGCTTTAGAGCCATCACTGACTTTTGGTATACTTATTGGTAAATGGTCTTCATGGACTCCATCTGTATATAAATGAATATCTGATTTATACATTCTCCATCCTGACCGACCCGGTGAACGCCACAGAGCGTGTGACCGATACGTGCAGGTCCTTCAAGGTGGCAAAGACTTTGAGGTCCTACAAGCACATACGACTCCTTTGACATTTGGGTCAAGTGTGCAACTCTTCCCCGTCCATACTAACTAAACAGCCAACTGTTAAAGTAATATTGCACTACTGTCAGCTTTAAAAATAGACCAAAAAGTGGTCTTTTGTTTCATTTGAATCTGGATGCTCAATGATCTGTGGTTTGACTATAAAGGTGCTTCAGATCGCTGTCACAGCGTTCCCGGTGTCCCCATCGCCGCCCTTTAATTCTGCAATTAAATTCCACTAACAGTGTTGTTAGTTAGTTAGGTTAGGTGAGTTTTAAAAAGTAATTGATCAGATATAACTAGTTAACCTCTTAAAAATGTGATGAGTAATGCTACTACTTCAACTACCATTAGTGTTTGACTATTTATTACATTTCTAACAGATGTTCTAAAGAGGAAATTGGAAGAGGAAGCTGAAAAGTCCTAAATCAAGATAAACCTCAGTACGCCACTCAACAAATTAATGTTATATTCAACATTAACATGTTTTGCCAAACGTCATATCATTGAAATCACATAGCACACCTACTTGAATAAATGTACTTTGTTAAATCCCAACAAAGTCAAAAGCGTTTTAACAAGGTTTTGCCGACGCTTTCAGATGTAAACAAAGCAGCTAATGTACCAACAGGTCCATTTATATTCATGTGCTACCTGTGTAGTTTAATCTCAGCCAAGCTCAGGTCAAAATCGGCGTTCAAATACGTACAAATTTGACGTCCAGTCAAATGTAAATCTACAGTACTTCAGGGTTCAGACAGGAAATAACTTGATTCCCAACTTCAAGAACTAGACGGACGTGCACAAGTCACTTCAAAGGCGTCGTACAGTGGATATTGGATTATCAGTGACGTTAAAAGTAGCAAAAGGCTTGATCTCTTTGGATTTCTAAGCTCCGGTAATCAGAAGTTTCCTTCGTTCACATTAGGTTATAATCTAAACTGCAGTGTGTTTGCTCATCACCTCACCGACGCTAATGGAGTGAGCCTGGAAAGTAGAAGCGTGCACAGGTCCTCCCCGAGGGGTAAACAGTCAAAGTGTACATCCCACACACGCAAGCCATGTAAACAAACTCAGTCTCACGTAATTGATCCTCTACTTTATGGTCAGTGCCAAAATGAAAACTCACTCAAAGCGGTTGAAGAGCCGATGTCGAACGAGGTAAAACGGCTTCTGTGCAATCAAACGTTACAGCGGGAAACGTTTCCCCTCCATCTGTCTTAAGATTCTTTTTGTCATTGCTTTTTTTTTTAGTACTTTCAAATCAACAGATCTTATTAGTTATTTTGTTAAGAGATTTGTCCAGTGAAATGTAGTGATCATCCTGCTGGTTCACTGTGCGTCAATCCGCCCGGGTCACATTACGCACACACGCACAACTTTAGAACGAAAGGTCCGACATGTACAATGAAAAATCAATATTCAAATAATACACCGCTGTTAATGTTTTTAGACATTTTATTTGTATTAAATATTAACAATAAGGAGACAGTGGAAAAAAATCATCTGCAATTTCTTAGGTGAACAACTGAGTGTGTAAAAAAAAATAGTGTTTGTGAAACTGAAGAGGAATACGTTGGTGAACACAAACTGCAAAAGTTCTCGTGCCTCCAGATAAACCTATTAGATACATTTCAAAATGGGGAGACCATGGAAAGGAAAAATGCACTCAAAGGATTTTTGTATTTCGCTGTGGATCTGTCATCGATGTGTGGTCAGCTGGCTCATAGCATGAGTTTAGAAGGTTCTTTATTCACAAACCTCACCCTAAACTGAAAAAGCAGCTTCAACAGATCATCGTCCACTTTGTTGAGACAGTTAGGCGAAAGTTTTTCAAAGTAATCTCAAAGACTAAGACTATTTCTGTTTTAGAGCAAAGGCTGGATTTCACTTACGAGTGAGTCATTTCGCCTGATTTATTATCAATAGCCCGAAGAACTTTGGTAATCTCTCAGACCTCTGACTGCATTTGACATTCGTTAATTAAATAAACTTTGTTATGTTTTAATAAGTTATGTGCTGACCTTATTCTTAAATGCAATTTACACGAGCACGAAATGTTGTTAACGAACAGTGAACATCAACGGTTACTTCATCTATGTACAAGTATACAGCTTAATTTCATTATCACATTAATTTGTAAAGAAAGAAAAAAGATAATTACAGTAAGCATATTAAAAGCATGGCAGTGTAATCTCTGGGATTCATTAGTTACAATAAAAACATCTTGATTATTATAGTGGTCACGAGATGACCACTATAATAATGTGTTGGTGCCAAGATGCTTTTAGGAAACATTCCATGGCAATAAATAAGGCAGAAAACAATAAATAACTGCAAGAAATGAAAGTCTCTAAGATGCACGACATGTCGCTAAGTAAAATGAACAACTGAGGTCTGTGACAGATGCCCACCTCATGATTGAGGCCCGTGTTTCCAGCAGCGAAACTCAACATCAGATCATCCTTCCAAATAAACAGGTGAACATTTTTCCCAGACCTCAGTTCGACATTTTAACTGATATCTCAAACGTGGCTTTCCTTCGTGATATGTCTCATTATCAGCAGCCCACCTTTGTGATCTTCTCAATTTGAACACAAACAACAAGCACAGCTGTTGGGGGAAACACAGCGGGAACGCTTCACGCCTCCCTCGTGACATTTCCCTTTGCGGCGGTACGACGCGTGCGCCGACGAGGGACGCGGGGAGCATTTCTTGAGGGGTCGGCCAGCGACACGGCATCGTCGCCCCCTGCGCGTGTAAACAAACCGAGCGAGGGATCGCGTGGTTCACAATGCAGCTGCGCTTCTCGGTCCCCCGGAGCCAGATTAGTGCTGGCTGTCTACACCACCAGGTAGCTCATCGCATTCAGCAGGTGTAAAATGATTCCCTAATCAGCCAGCTGGAATGAAAATCGGGCCCCAATTCCCAGGGCCGAGAGCCACTGCAAGAGATTGTGTTATGGATCCGCTGTATGACAATACGAGCTGTGGGTAAGTACGGCAGGCAGGGTAGAGGGAGGACGGGGGGGGGGGCATGGGGGGGAAGGAGAGGCCGGGGACACGGTGGTGGGGAGGGGGGGGGAAGCTCGCCGAATGGAGAGGCGCACAGGAACAAAAGGAGCTACTTGGTTTGCATGCAGTAGAGGCAGAGTAGTGGGCTGGGGGAGGGGGGGGCGGTAGATTGGGGGCGAATAAGAAGTGGTGGGATGGGAAAAACAGAAACAAGGGTAAACAAAAAAAAAAGAATGGGGATAAAGAAAGAGAGGAAGTAATGTGAAGCAGAGCACGGGGAGAGCTGCAATTTCCACCCGACGAGCCGTATTCCTTCAGGCCTCTCTTCACCTCTGCAAGGTGCTCGCCTCATGAGGTGTACATTAGAAAGAACACGATTCATACAACCTCCCAACATCAAGGGGCCGCACGGAGACACAAGTCAACGACTTCTCCGAAAATGTTACGTTCTCTGTAGAGGCTGCGGTGCTTAGCAGCAGCGCAGGATGCCGCCTCCCAGTCAACATAATAGCGTTTATTTCCCTGAAATCCTGTAGTTCACAGATCTTGAAAAGATGGCTTTTCAAACTTCACCATATTGGGAATGATGTGGAACGATGCAGCGGTTCGTGGCAGTGATGATATTTGTATATTTCCATCAAAAGGGAAAGTCCTACTGACTAAAAAACAGTGTCTTACAGTGAGAAATGCTGTCATGTTGGATGCCTTTTTCAAAAAGATAACACATCTGAGATCAGGAAGATAAAAGAAGGCGATCAATGACTGCGTCACATCAAAACTCATCATTTCGGAACATTTTTCCAAATGGGAGAGTCAAGAGAAACAGTGTTCATTGAGTAAACAACTTTCTGTGCAGTATTTTATTATGTCACCTGCCTCCCGAGGCAGAATCAGACTCCAATCAAGTGAGTTCACAGCGAGTCCGTTACTTCAGACATTTTTCCTTTTAAATCCTAAAAATGGTTATTGATTTTGTCATTTAGCAAAGCAGCAGTAAGTCTCCCTGATCATTGCTCAAAACCAATCCTCATTTCAAAACAATGGATAACGCAGGTTATTCCAATCCTAAAACTTGTTCGGTTGCTCTCTTCTTCTCGGGTGTTTTAATAAAGTTCGCTGGGGGTTCACAATTTTGCGGATTTTTAAATTATTTATTGAATTAGACAGATATGTCAAACTACTGAACCAATCGTTTCACATGCACGTTGATGCGAGCATTCAACGCAGCATTGAATTCCTACAGAACCGGTGGTCCGGTGTTAAGCTAAAGGTTCTAGTGATGCCTTATTCATGTGAGCACTCCACAGGCTGCTTGTCTTGGAGGTTTTGGAATGTTCGATTCCCTTGTTGAGACACTGAAATGGGGGTCGATACTAAAAAGCTATTAAACTACTTTAAAATTCACTCAGATTCCCATTTTGTAAAAAATGCAGTGAACGGATCATGAATGTGGATGTTCATTCTCAACATCTGTCTTTTCATCTGGACCGCTGTCAGTGGAACATCAAGGAATGATGAGTTGGTCTGATTTGGAATTTGGCCATGTCACATGACGGCCATTCCTCTGTTCATTAAGCAGCACAAGTCTTTACTTTTAAGGATGTTCACATAAATGGATACAAACAATATTTAAAAAACACAAATGAAAACCTCACGTCCACATGACTGTACGGTTACTTGTGCAGACCGTGAGGCAAATATCACAGATTGTTTCTTTGTGAGAGTGTGGACCTAGATGTGTGCGACTAGGTCTGCGTTTGTGTGCATTGACATGAGGCTGTGAGTCTCTTTGCACGTTGTGGGTCTGTGGGAGTAAGCACATCTGAACTGTCAGCATGACACAACGTGGGAGTTCTGACAGACAAGTGAGTGCCTTTTTCATGCTCCAAGACGCGCTTGTGTGTGTGTGTGTGTGTGTGTGTGTTCAATTGAGCAAAACTAAGAACAAAATGTCAGCAAAGGGTTTGTCAGGATTGTGCAGATAGACGAGCATGATTGTTAGCGCTTGTGGTCGATGATTCAGAGGGAATTGGGGGAGAACACAAACACTACCGGAGGCGCAGCCGTTTTCCTATAAAGTCCCTTCGTTTTGTCGCTGGAGTCAATACGGTTTGCGCGAACGTCTGTGTCCTCTCAACCGTCTGTCTGCGTCAGCGCTTGCAGTTCGGCAGTCTGGAGGGAATGCTGGAGGAAGACATTCTTACGACTATAGCTGTGCAGAGACAGAGGGCCTCGAGGGGGTTGGCCTAAACGACCCGTAAACGTGGAGGAAGAGGAGGAGGACGAGGAGGAGGAAGAGGACGCCGGGGAAGGAGTAGGAGGTGGTGGGGAGGCTGGGATGGGAGACGAGACGCTCGGCGAGGGGCTCCCTCTGCTCGTAACACTGTGGAGGCTGGACGAGGCGCTGGTCCCGATCGCGCGGGGGATATGGCTGGGCGGGTGGTGCTCTCCGCCTCCTCTCCTCGCCCCACCTGGCAGACTCACTCCACCTCCTGGAGTCAATGACTCAGAGGAGGAGGACACCCCCTCCGGCTGCCTGGAGGACAGAGGTGGAATTGCGTTGTGTTTAGCGGCCGCTGAACCAGAGCCCGGGTGTGAACCTGGGAGCTGGGCGGGAGGAGTGGGCGGAGCTCGGGCAGACGCTGCAGCAGCGTCACAGACCGGAGCCAGACTGGGAGCAGCGTTACGCGCTGTGGAATGTGCCAGGGCGCCCTGGCAGTGGCGCTCCTCCCGGGTAGGGTGCCGTTCGGAGGCAGGGGGGCGGCCGTGCAGGGGTGGATAGTGGTGGTGGGGGAGGTGCTGGTTACAGAGGTCCCCTCCGAGCGCCGCCCCCACTGCCCGCACTGCCCTTCGGTCCCTTGAAGCAAGGCTGACGCTGCTGCTGCCTAGTCCTGACCACCGGCCTGGATGACTGGCCTGAGAGAGGAAAGAGACAGAAACATGTTAAAGAGAACACTTGACTTTAACATTTAACTGAGCAAGAGGGAAAAAGTGTGAGAGAGAGAGAGAGAGAGAGAAACGGAGGGGCGGCAGCATGCGAGCGGGCGAACCGTTGAGTGTTCACTATATATTGTCTATTTGGTTGACATTTGGGGATTCATCTCTGTGGGCTCCTGCAGCTTGTTCTTATTGTTTCTTAACCAACCGGAACCCTGCTCACAAAGGAACACACACACACACATTCGGAAATGGGAACGCGCTCCTGCTCACACACACACACACACACACACACCCACAGAGGACCAAATGGGCAATGTTCAATCAAGTAGCATCTGACACTGAATCTCACGGGAGAAGTAACTGAGTTGACGTTTGCCGACACGATGGCTGTGATCAAGAATGAGCACGTGTCTGTGGAATTGCATGTCCGAACACGCTGTGTACAACCAGGGTGTCAATATTCATGTATGTGCATGAATGCATACATGTATTTAGAAGCCCCGGCGTTTTTATGTGTATGAATAGAAATATAATGGAATGGAAGTATATTAAGTTAGTTTCCAAATGTAATTGCAGTTGCAAGATATTTGGTGTGAGAGGTGCAGAGAACACAGCTAATAAGTACAGTACAAAAGCAGCAAAGCTAATTCAATTAAATGTTTTCCATTCGAGAGTCTTTGAACCTGAAATCACATTAAAGCAGCGGAGGGAGTGAGAAAGTGGGGGGATCACAAAGGACCTGGAACGCTGCTAGTGTGTGTTGCACCTTCTTGTGTTTTGAAGTGTACGCTAAGCATCATGAACGGTGTCATACTGATGATTCAGCTCAGTACAGCTGGAGTCTAGAGGTCCAATAACGTCATGCTCATGACGTTATTGGCCGGGCCTCTAAAAACCAGCCAAACAATCTGCACTTTAGTAACTCAGTCTCTATGTCCTTTCATGTCCCGAAAAAAAAAAAAAAGAACCACCACAGCGCACTGCCCAAACATCAAACAGTGTGTCGTCTATGCAGCTTACTTAAAGAGCTCGGGGAGCGTGTCTCTGCTGTCTAATAGGCACTAATGGGTGCATAAACACTACAAGACATCTTGCAGATTGCTTGATCTAATTAAGACGAGTGAGAATTTCCATTCCAGCCAAATTTCCTACATAGGGGCACCGTGCATAAAACATAAGAGGATATCGCCACGGTGTTGACTATCCACGATGGTGGTGTAGGTTTATGTGGGATGGCTTAATTAGGGCTAAATCTTTCCCGTAGTGTTTTTTTTTCACCCTCAGACCTTTGAGAAAACAACAGAAGGTAAAGCGAGAATTGCACGATACAAATTGGCAGACAACTTTGAAAGAAATAATTACCAGGCACAGTACAAAGAGTCGGCTGAAGAAACAGATGCTCTGTATCAAAGGGGCACTGCTCATCTAACTTTGGAAGGAGGAAAGAAAAAAATGTAAAGAATTCATCAAATGAATCAAGCAAAAGCGGGGTGAGGGGGCTAGAGGGGACACGGTAGACACTAGGGAGGGAGGGGGACCCTCTATCCAATAAAAACTTATTTTTAAACAACTGCTCGAACGCGACTGGACTCACAGACGCAACAATGCCCGCAGCAAACACGGGGCAGTGTGTGATTTCAAAAGCAACGGTTGCAATCTTCTATAAAACAAAAAAGAAACGGAAACGAGAGGCACTGCAGAGCCTCCACTTGTGACAGATGGTGCATGCTGCTGCTGCAGGAGTCCAGTGGGAGGACTGGAGTAAACACAAGTTTACTAAAGAGAGGATTTCTAGTCTGTTAACTATAAGGCAGTTTAAGAGCCGTTCAGACAGTCAGAGTAGAATAGTTTGGTTTTTATGGTTTCTGCGCCCCCTTTGCTTATTTGCGCTTATTTGGGAAGCAGCGGTGATCAGCACTTCATGGGAGGTGGTGGAATGAACATGTTTGTGCACATTACGTCAAACAAGGATTAGGTATATTTTCTGTTGGTTTCGGTCCCAAAGATGGTCTCATCCAAAGACCAGGGGCCCATCACAAACCAAACCCCTTTTTGGGGGGTGTATGGTGATTTTGGAGCCACCCTCCAGTTTCCATTTAATCAATTGCAGATTGTGGCACTTCTGCATTGCACAGAGATGGACACCCGAGATGATCCATGTATAGATCCATGAAGAGGTGACGGGTTTGGTGCCTCCGACTTTAGCTTAAAATTGAAATCTTCCTTAGTCCATCGTGATAAGTTAAAGCTGTTGTTATTGCTCATCCATTTCGAGTAGCCCACTGATGCATTTTATTTATAGATACCAGGCAGGCGGAAGAATCAAATTTAGAGTCATTGTTAGGTTTTGATAGGTCGGCTTAGATGTGATAGGATACAGCTATGACGTCAAGTACTTCTGTAATAGGAAGATGTGTGTGTTCCTTACTTTGAAACTGATGTTAAGATAGGACAAACATCTTCCTGTAACGAGGCCCCAGAGTCCCAAACAGGGTTGGGTGTCTGCCAGATGTTCTGGATGGGATTCTACCTGATCAGCAGAGGAATAATCTAGCAGACTATAGGACACGTAGATATGACTTCATCATCATTGGATTATGACTTTTATTCTAGATAATGACTTTATTAACCCCCCAAAGATACACTCAGTCAAATGAGTCTTGAGAAAATGTAGAACAAAAACAAACAATTTCAGTAAAAGGTGGAAAAGAATAAGAAGCTGAGGTAATGAAACATTTGCAAAACATTAGAACAGACAGCAAGACAAAGGGAGAAAGAGAGAGCAGGCTTTGATTTACAAAGTCAGGTGTCCTTTCTCAAGTACAGGCTCTGCGGCAAACGGCTGCTCCTTCTCCAGGCACAGAACGGCACTCTGGAGAGTCTCTCACACACTCTCACTCACACACACACCTGGGTAAATCAGAGAGATTTAAGGCGGGCTCTCCTGTAAACTTAGCTTTTATTGGACAGCGACAAACACAGCAATGTGCTAATGGCCAAGTTTGCATAAAAGAGCTCCTAAAAACCATAAAACATCCCCATGCGACGACGGCTGCTGCCTGTCAATGTCATTTTTATACCGGCAGATGAGGGAGGGTGGAGGATTTATTATTTCTTGACTTCTCGTCCACTGAAACTAACAAAAACTAACTAATTAAAGAGAATGGAAAACTGTAGCGAGGTGTAAAAAAGGTCCAAAAGTTTCTCCACAAGGAGATTAGAGAGGAAAAAGTTTGTCAATGTGAATTATTTATTTGACACCCACATACTATGTGAAGAAAGAAATCCTTTGGTTCTTTGAAAGTGTGAAGTGCCGGTGTTCAGAACGGATAAAAGTACAGCCGCGCAGATGGTAGTCTAAAATCCTATTTAGACTGTAACCAGATACATTTCCCAACTGGGGGACCAAACCATCCCAACTCTTCCTTTCTACAATATTCTCATTTTTGCCCAGTGTGACAGAAAGGTGCAGTTCAGGACAATCAGGACCCATTAGAAGAAATACGTATGCATTTATTTGTCTAGGTCCTGGTACAGTGTGCTGCCTTCTCACTGAAAACTATAAATTGTAACCATTTGGAAAAAAAAACGTCTAATGTGCTTCAACTTAGTTTGCATCGAATGATAGAAAGAGGCGAACCAGGCGGAGAACGTGAATACTCAGGAAGTCCGCATAGCTTCAGCCATCATTTTCGGGAAGAGTCATTGAACATTCACAGACAAGGTCTGTGCATCCGTCTCAGCTAAAGGCACTTTGCAGGATACACCTGCAACAATCAAACGAGGGGGTTCTCAAGGACAAAGCAAACCTTTACTTTCAACTGGAAGGTTTTCATCAATACACAAAACTCCCACAGGAAGTGAGTCCTTTGCACAGCCGGCAGCAGCAACCTTGCCCCCCCCCCCCAACTCCTCTCCATCTCGACTTTGTTGCTATCGTCCATCGGCTTCGCCTCTCACCGCTATTTCCCTAAACGGCTCGGCCAATTTCATGACTGCCCTCTCACTGTCCACCTCCCCCGTCTCTCTGATTGTTAAGTGAAATTCAACTTGCAGTATATGATATGGTACAGGAAAGCACGTTAGAATTCAGGGAATACAGTAGCAGCTAACCTGCTTCCGATCAGGATACTTATTTCCCCAATGTAAGAAAAGGAGAGGACAGGACTAAAAAAAGCAAAGGAAAAAGTTAGGAGTCAGAAATAATGCCGTGAGTTACTAGACGGGGCGGGAAATGCAGGAACTGAGACAAAAGGGCATCACATCTTAATATGCTTTATGTAGTAATGGTAAACACCGATGTCTCTTAGCTCAGCTAAAGGTTGTTGAGTACTTTTTTTAGGTATTTGCCAAAATGCAACTCCTTGCAATTCCGCATTTTTTTCTTTCTCACTTTGTTCTCCTGATTTCCTAATCTCTTACCTCCTCCAACACTCTCGCTCTCTTTGTCGCTTCTTCACTCTTTCTTCGTTATGTAACTTGGTCCTTAAGAATGCCAGCAGCGGACACGGCTCGATAGACTCCGACAGCTGGAGGATTGATGGTATGCGACGGCGGTCCGGAGACCATATAGACAGAAAGAAGACGATGGGGAGGAAGTTTTTATTTTTTTTATTTTTTTTTGTGTGTTTTGGTGGTTTGAGAGTTGGACCGTGGAGCAGGTTAAAAAAGATTGAGTGGACCAAAGCGCAGTGTACGTCACAGCTGCAGCAAACTGCCCCCCAGCTGGCTGGATGTCACGTCCACAACACACTGAGAGGCAGGACACTATAATTTGATGCACCGCACAACAAATGGGCTCACGGAGCTCCCAGTCTTCAATCGTGAACCTGCACGATTTCAAAATGATCAACATTAGGCTGATATATAGAAAAACTACAAACCAAACACGGCAACCTGCTGCAACCCACGAGTATCAAACAGGGTTGTGCGTGTCTGTAACTCGATAAATATTTAGACTTACAACACCTCAGACG